CAATCCACAACACTGCAAAAAACAATACTGATGCCAGCATATGGAAGGTTCTCAATAAATGACAACCTTGATTTCCTAGGCATCATATCTTGAGGATTGCCATTCTTAGGCTCCTAACTTCAAATATGCCCTTGATTGTAGACAAAACACATGTGATAACAGAAAAACACATTAAATACTGTTTCACTGGAGCTTACTACAAAGCTGGGTATCAGTAGCTTACGCCTGTAATCCTAGCTACTCAGGAGGCTGAGATCTGAGGATCGCAGTTCAAAGCCAGCCCTATCAGGAAAGGCCATGAAACTTTTTTTTTTGCTGGTCGTGGAGCCTGAACTCTGGGCCTGGACACTGTTCCTCAGCTCTTCAGCTCAAGGTTAGTGTTCTACCACTTGAGCCACAGTGCCACTTCTGTCTTTTTCTGCTTATGTGGTGCTGAGGAATAGAACCTAGGGCCTCATGCATGCAAGGCAAGCACTCTACCACTGAGCTACCTTTCCAGCCCCTATTGCCAATAAACCACCAAAAAACCCAAAGTGGCACTATGACTCAAGTGGTAGAGTGCTAGCCTTGAGCTGAAAAGCTGAGGGACAGCACTCAGGCCCAGAGTTCAAGCCCCATGACCAAAAAAAAGAAAGAAAGAAAGAAACACAAAGGTGCGACATTCATGTGCCTCTTTAGATTCATAAATAAATAAATATAGATATAGTGAAGCAAATTCCAAGATATGGAAACAAGAGGTTTCTTCACATTTGTTGTTATTTCTGTATGTAATTGTTATATATGTATGTTATTCCATATTGTTATTGTGTATTTCTCTATGGTTTATTCATATGTCTATCTTTAGGAGCGGGGGACACAGAACTCAAGGGAAAAAGGGTGAAAAAGTACAGCAGTGGCATTCACTGGACACTTTGTTGAACTATTCAACTCATGTGTAGAGACAGGAAGGAGGGACTAGGAAAGAGTGAGGGAAGGGATGATACTATATGAAAGGAAATGTACTCATAACCTAACATATAACTGCAATCCTTCTGTACATCACTTTTACATAACAATAAAGTAAATTTAAAAATAAAACCTGTTTGCCCAAGTGCTGGTAGCTCATGCCTGTAATCCTAGCTACTCAGGAGAATGAGATCTGAAGATCAGTTCTAGGCCAGCCCAGGCAGGAAAGTCTGTAAGACTATTTTTTTATTTTTATTGTCATTATAGAGTTAATATACAGAGGGGCCACAGTTATATGAATCAGGTAATGAGCAATCAGTACAATTTTTTAGGAACCAGTCTCCTCTTCCATCCTTTCACTGGGTTTTTCCCTCCCATCCCCATCCACAATATATCCAGTTCATTTTCTAGGTAGTGTCCAAAGAACGCCACTGCTCCATTTGTTCATCCCAGTTCTACCTTTCATGTACACTCCCACACTCTCCCAAATACAAACAAGACAAAAGGAAAAGAAAAGAAAAACAGGGGTCACTAAAAGATGGGTGAGACTCTTTTATCTCCAATTAATCACCAGAAAACTGGAAGTGAAGCTAGGACCCAGTGGTAGAGTGAAATAGCCTTGGGCACAAAAGCTCAAGAACAGCACCCAAGACTTGAGTTCATGCCTCACAATGAAACAAAAAAGAAAAAAAGCCTGCCTTCTACCTTTAGCTTCCAGCAAGACTCCACCTTCTCCCTGATCCCCTCCAATACTAATGGTTTTCATGTTACTTTCTTGAAGAGGCCTCCCTTGACCCCTTAGTATATACCTCACTGCACTTTCCTGAGCCACACTTTTAGCCACCATATAAACTTATAACTAGTAAATCACCATTCTACCCATTTGGGACATTCCATATTTGAGTGGACTGAGTGAGTGCTTTTGTGCACCTAACATATATGTAATATATGATTTTCCTGATGGGGAAATAAAAGAAAATCAAAGCCTGATCCAGCCTGGGCTGACTAGGAAATCAGAGGTCTGACATGATACTACTCCACACAGGTAAGAGGCAGCATAGGACAGGTAAAAGGGGCTCACAGTTGGAATCTAGCTACTCAGGAGACTGAGAACTGTGGTTAAAGTCCTTCAAATCACCAAATTTGGAAGTGGAGCTATGGCTCAAGTGGTAGAGCTCTATAGCTTGAAAATAGCTCAGGGCAGTGCCCTGGCCCAGAGCTCAAGCACCAGGACCATCACACTCACACACACCCAAAGGGGAGAGGGGGGAGAGGGAGAGAGGGAGAGAGAGAGAGGGAGAGAGAGGGAGGAAGAGGCACAGTATAGGAGACATACCAAATGAGTAGACACAAGGAACTCAATGGAGGATCAAATACAAAAGGAATGAAGCAGTCTGTGAAGAGTTTAAGAAACTATGATCTAGGGGCTGGAAAAGTGGCTCAGTGGTGGAGTGCTTGCCTTGCATGCATGAAGCCCTGGGTTCAATTCCTCAGCACCACATAAGTCGAAAAAGCCAGAATTGTCACTCTGGCTCGAGTGGTAGAGTGCTAGCCTTGAGCTGAAGAGCTGAGGGACAGCGCCCAGGCCCAGAGCTCAGGCCCCAAGACTGGCAAAAAAAAAAAAGAAAGAAAGAAACTATGATCTAGAGCTGATCTTGGAGGAAGGGGAAGAATTTACATAGCCTCTAGGAGAGGAAAGCTGGTTCAAAACAAAGCACAGTAGGTCAACCTGTGGGAAACCAGCTGGAAGGTAATGAAGCCAAGTAGCATATGCACAGAAGAGGAAGGGCCTCAGAAGGCTGCAGGAATATTTTTAAAATAAACTGAATTTCAAAAGGAGAAAGAACTACAAATAGTAATTCTAAAGGCTATCTCTGTCTGTCTGTCTGTCTCTCTCTCTCTCTCACACACACACACACACATTCTTAGGCCCCTATCTATAAAGTTAAAAAAATATCCTATCTGAGCAAATGCAGGCCATTCTGAGTTAGAGAAGACAGACAGGGCATATTTGGATAGAACTCTTTGTGAGGAAAACCAGTATGTCTCCAGTTAAGCTGACTCTTACAGGTACTAGGCTGTCTAGAAACAGTGCAGTCTAAGTACTTGTCAATGTTATAGAAAATCTGGTCTTTCTGTTTAATGCTAGACCTATCCTTTGAGCAGGACAAATTTGTTGTGATGGTTATATATTTTTCTTCTTAGTCATTTATCTCTTTTTTAGATTCAGTCTCATTACATAGTCTATGCTAGTCTAAAACTCAAGATCTTCTGGCTTCTGCCTTCTATGTCCTGGGATTACAGACATGCATCACCATGTCCAGCAAAGTAGTTGCAGTTTAAGGAGCCCTTATCCAAAGGGCATGCTGGAATTCTACCTTCCAAGTTGGGTGTGCTAAACCACTTACAGAACTATACAATGCTCTCCATCTCTGGTCCCCACACTCATTCAGGAGTCCCTCCTTCAGCTCAGAACTGACAAGACTCAGGGAACAGCCTAGAATGTCTTCCAACTAAACAGATCTGAAGGATGACCATCTAGAATGACTCTCTGATATTTGTCCAGCAACCTTGAAAAACCTTTCTGCTAGATGTGACCAGGCACCTGGATCATGAATGGCAGCATGTTCTTTCCTTCTAGTCCAGAAAGTTGCTCAACAGCCCTTAACTAAAATCTAGGACTTCCTTCAAGGACTTTATTGGGTTTTAATTTTGAGTCAGGAACTTAATTTTAGGTTTTTGTTGAGTGGACGTTCCCCAGAGGAGTGATCTCCAAATTGGGTATAGGTTCTCCAAATATTGCCTAAGAACGTAACTCAAGAATAGAAAATTAATCTTCCCTCAAACAATCTCTCAGCTCATCTTTCAGAAGGCCACATGTCTTCACTATTTGATATGCAGGTAAGATAAGAGCATTCAAGTCACAAGCAGGATGGTAGATGGGCCTACAGAGATGTTGCTGGGCAATACCATGCTTTTTTATGGCATGCACAATTATGTGTTACATTACTGAAGTTTAGTAAAACAACTCTTACATAGTGAACAAGTGGTTTAGAAACATCTCTGTAGAGCATCTGAGTGCATCTAGCACGTGCACCAACAGAAATGATGGAGGACACATCAAATGTGAGAAACAGGCAGGTCACATAAAGATTAAAAACAATGAGACTCAAAACACTCAACCATTTTTTTCAATTCTTGGCAGTATTAGAGGTTTGGACTCAGTCTTGCTCTTGCTAGGCTGGTCCTATACTACTAAGCCATGACTCTGATTTACACTGGTTATTTTTAGGATAAGGTCTTGCTTCCCATCTTGGCTCAGGCCTAAGCCACTATTGCCTATTTTTAGGCTTCTCATCCTCACTAGGATCACAAGTGAGGCACCATACCCAGCTTTCCTTCATAGAGACTACCTCAGGGCCTATCTTACCCATCCTTAGCCTCACACATAACTTGAGATGACAAGTGCACACGACTATACCTAGCAATCGGTGAAGAAAGGGTCTTGTGAACTTTTCTGCCTGAGCTGGTCCCAAACCACAATCCTCTAATTTTCAGTGTCCCAAGTATCTAAGATTGTAGGTGTGAACCACCAGTGCCTTGCTATAAAAAGTATCTGAAAGATGGTTTTTCATCCTTTATCCCAACATGTCCTTTTTCATGCAGATCCGTGTATTTTGAGTTTACAGTACTACAAAGAATACTAGGAAAATGGGCCTACAAAGATGTTAAAATATCCCGTTATTTTTAATATTGTTTTCATGCTTCTATTTTGTATGTTTTATATCATTTATCAGTATATAATGTGCTAATACTAGAGACATATGGCTTAAAATATGTAATTAGGACTGAGAGTTTTGTTTTTTTTGTTTTCCAATTATTTAGGTGACATAGATATTAGCCTAGCAGCCCCAAGGTCCTTTTTCTTACTGTTTTCTGTGACCATACTAAGGGAAAGCCCCTCTCCCTGTTCAGATCACCAGTGTGGGCAGCTCTGCCTGCCTCCCAGCCCGCCTTGACCTTCCCCAGCCCTGGCAGCAGCAAGGAATCCCTACCTGATTGTGCCATCGAATGACATTTCCAAATCCCCCGGTCCCAAGCCTTTCTTTCATTTCCCAGGCCCCACATGTCTGGGTTGGCAGGGAGGGTGACCAGCTCATATTGATGCCCTGCTAACTCTGTAAGCAATGGCGGGGGGGGGGGGGGGGGGGGGGGGGGTGGGGGGACAAAAGATTAAAGTTTTAAGGACAAATTGTGCTCAAGGGGATGCAGAAAGCATCACTGCTCTACAACCCAGACTTGTTTCGTGCAATGTGTTAAGTTTGTTGGAGGGCAAACTTTGCTCTCCTTCAGCTCCTCCCACCCGGACTCAATAGCAGGGCAGAGAGGAATTGTGCACCGCGCCCCGAACTGCTTCCCGGAACGGGGTTTCCGAACCCAGCACCGCCCAAGGTGGAGGGGAGAGCCCCGCTCCGGGACTCACGGCGCACACTCTCCCGCCGCCGGGCCCCCGGGCTCCCGGTCCCTGCCGGGCCCCTGCCCCTGTCCGCCTCCCCCCATTCCCCCCGCCCCCCCCCAGCCCCCCCCCCACTGTCCCCGCTCCCGCCCCCCAGCCCCCCCCCCCCCCCCCCCCGCTGTCCCCGCTCCCGCCTCCCAGCCCCCCCCCCCCCGCTGTCCCCGCTCCCGCCCTCCAGCCCCCCCCCCCGTCCCCGCTCCCGCCCCCCAGCCCCCCCCCCCCCGCTGTCCCCGCTCCCCGCCCTCCAGCCCCCCCCCCACCGCTGTCCCCGCTCCCGCCCCCCAGCCCCCCCTCCGGCTCCCGCCTCCCAGCCCCCCCCACTGTCCCCGCTCCCGCCCCCCAGCCCCCCCCCCCCCCGCTGTCCCCGCTCCCGCCCTCCAGCCCCCCCCCCCCCCCCGCTGTCCCCGCTCCCGCCCCCCAGCCCCCCCCCGCTGTCCCCGCTCCCGCCCCCCAGCCGCCCCTCCCCCGCTGTCCCCGCTCCCCCCCCCAGCCCCACCCCCCCGCTGTCCCCGCTCCCGCCCTCCAGCCCCCCCCCCCGCTCCCGCCCCCCAGCCCCCCCTCCCGCTCCCCGCGCTCCCAGCCCCATTCCCCCGCGCCGCCGCCGCTCCGCCACCCCCGCCCCTCACCCTCCCTATCCCCCCCCCCGCCCCCGCTCCCGCCCTCCTCCCCCCCACCCATCGGGAACTCCGCGGACGCTCCCGCCGAGCGGCCGGGAAGCGGGTCCGCAACAAGCCCCAGGGCCGGCCCGCCGAGGGACTCACCTGCTGGCGGGGGAGGCGAAACTGGCGGGGGGCCGGGACAGCCCCCCTAAACACGTGAAAGTGAGGGACTCTCAAACCCGCCCGCCCCGCGCGACTTCCTCAAACACTTCCTGCTCGGACGTCATGGAGCACGTGGCTGCGGCCGGCTCTTAAAGGGGCCGCTCGGGACGGCGGGTCAGAAGCTGGTCGGGGCTGCGGGGGTGGGGGGTGCCGGCGGCTGAGCTCCGTGAAGGAGCTTAGGAACCACTCTCCTCGGAGCGCCGGCGCTCACCTACCAGCCACTCCGTTCCCGCTGTGGACCTGGGGAAATGAGCGTGGGGCCCCCTTCGGTGAATCTGACCCCGATTTCTAATGACTGGGAATTTCCCGGGCCCTGTTCGGATGAATTTGGGAGACTGTTTACCAGAATTACCCTCCTAACCTACTCCCGCCGCTGTCTTCACGTCTAGACGCTCTGGTTCCTTTTCAAGGGGATAAATCACAGCAAGCTTCATTTGAAATGACAGTCTTCCCCCACCCTTCCCCTCAAGAAGCCGAGCTCAATCACTCCTGTAACATTAGCTAGGAGGCTGAAATACGAAAATCATGGTTTGAAGACAGCCTGGGCAATAAACTGGAGACTCATCTCCAGTTAACCATCAAAATGCTGGGCTGGATGGAGGTGTGCCTCCAAGTGTTAGAGCCCTACATGTGAACGAGAAAGCTGAGCAAGAGCTGAAAAGAAAACCTCCACGCAGACATCCAGGTACAAAGAAAAAGAAAAGGTTTATTGCCAGTAAAGGGGCCGGCAAGACCCCTTTTTCACAAGAGAGGAGTGAGAAAAAAGTGCCAGCTACTGTCTGAGGTGACCTATGTAACCTACTGAGGCTAGAAGGGGCTAAGAGGCTGGGACCTTGGTGTGGACATGTGGATTAGGAGCTCTGCCATGGCGGACTAGGATTTATTTAGTGTTGCCTAGAAAAAGGAGTATCCTAAACTGTGGAAAGGGGAAGAAATGTACTAAGCCATTGGAAGGAAGCTTATTGGGCTTGCAGAAGAAGCTCTGAGTTCAAGCCCCAGTACTGGCACCAAAAAGCAAGCAAACAAACAAGAAATCTAGTAGTCTCAAACTAAAGTGGAGTTTCAGCTCCAGTAATGCTGAGTGAGAATACGGTGAGAGGGGCTCACTAGCATTATAATGTCTTCTAACATTTGAGTTTATTTGTTCTATGGCATTATATTAGTAGACGAAAAAGTGTTGTTGATATTGTTGTAAGTTGAATCATCCCAGAAGCCACATTTTTAAAAATATAGAATATTGAAGTCTTTATTGAAGAGGCTCACACATCCATCCCAGGGGACCACGCAGAAGCAGGCAGGCAGGCACAGGAGAAAGATTATTATAAGGTTTATTAGAGGAGCCATATTTCCCCCAAGAGGGAGCAATGGCCTCTTTCACCATCCAGGTAGCAGGAGGGTCTGAGGGACAGAAATGAAGTAGATGGGAGTTCAGGTGGGTCTGGGAGGAGAGAGGGAAGTGCCAACTGTATGGCTATTGCGGGAACTCTGGGGATTGGAAGGAGCCCACGTCTGGGTGGAGCTGAGGACCAAAGGTGAGCATAATACTAACATTTATTATACAGTTAACAGGTTGCAGGTGGCCACTTGTTACAAAGGCCTGCAGCACGCAAATACACATAACACAGCTAGGAAGATGCTAATGAGTAAGAAATAACAAAAACAATACCAACAAGCCAATTCAGCTCCAATGGAGAGCTGAATTGGGACACCATGATGACCTAAGATAAGCCATGAGACAGGACACAGGACACGATCACAGAGACACGTGGCATGGCCTCTTGGTGGCTAGGCTGGTCTGGGTCTAAATAGGTCTGTGCAGGGGGCAGATTCTCAGGAAATTCCCAGTCCCAGGCACTGGAACTGACAGATTCAGTAACCTATCAGTCATGTGCCTGCCCCTGCCTCCAGGGGTCCTAGCACACCCATTACCTGGGAGGCAGGTGATGGGGGAGGGGGGTTACTTCCCCCAGCATGAAGACAAGATGCCATACCCTACAGTCTACCATGTAGCCAATATGGCATTGGCCAGCCCTGACCTTCTTACTTCAGTATCTTTTTCTGAAACAAGAAGAATGTATTAAAGGAAACCTGAAGATAGTTGCCAATATTTGTGGAATGCTTACTTGGTGCCAGGCACTATCCTAAATTTCTATTGAATCTCCAGGTCAACCCTAAAAATTGTACAATACCACATTTTTTTTATTATGCCATTTGCAGATGAGAAAACTGATGCACAGGAGTGGGGCACCTGTGGTATAAATAAATTCTAAAAGTAACTTTTTGGTGGCATTGGAGTTTGAACTCTGGACCTCCCAATTGCTAAGCTGGCATTCTGTCTTGTCTCTAGTCCTACTTTTTTTTATTGTATTTTTTATTATCTTTAAGTAGTTATACAAAGGAATTCCTATTCAACAAATCAGTGAATGGATGCAATGCATCATGTTTGATGTCACTCCTTTCATCATTCCTCTCCTCCGAACCTCAACCCCTTCTTCCAGGCAATTTTCTTAATTTCACTGGCTATGTATTAACTATAATAAGTGCATTCTCCCCTCTTCCTCTCTTCATTTGTCTACCCTGCTTTCCTTGACCTTCCTCCTACTTTTCAAGTACCAGTTTCCTGGCATTCATTTTGTTGCACTGTTTTTCTAAGGAATTACACCATTTGAATTCTGTCCTGCAAATACATTTCTATACACTTGCATACAACCACAAATGTGTTTACATGTACATTTATAAATTAGTTCTAGCTTCTACATATGAAAAAAAAGTGTCTTTGGGGCCTGACCTACTTCATTTAAAATAATTTTTCCGGGTCAATCTATCTTTGCAAATGATGTAATATTCTTCCTACAGGGTAAGTAAAATTTCAATATAAATATATACATGCACATATATGTGATATATGTCACTTTTTGTTCAAGACTGAGACACAAGCTCAGTACCTGATGCTTTCACTCATTGGCTAGCACTCTACTAATTGAGCCATGCCTCCAACACCCATTTTCTTTATCCATTAATCCATTGAAGTGCTTCTGGACTGCTTCTATACTTTGGCTATAGTGACCAGTGCAGCAATGAATATAGTTGTGCAGGTGTCCAGCCCCGCTTTTTGCTGATTATTTAGGAGATGGAGTCAAGCAAACTTTTCTCCTGGGCTAGCTTCAAACTATGATCCTCTGAATCTTTACCTCCTCAGTAGCTAGACTTACAGATATGAGCCACTGGTGCCTTGAAAAAAAATAAAATATACTTGTTGAGCAGGGCACTATTTTCTGGGTGATGTCATAAAGTTTCTTTTCATCCTATCACTTCTGAAAATCACTGTTCCTGACTCACTTATTGAGATATCCACTGACATGTCAAAAGTTTATACTCTATATATTTCAAGAATTCTCATTTTGCTCAGCTCAAGATAACTTGGTTTTCAACTGGATATAAATATCTTTAAACATTAATAGATTTTTTGTAAAATGAATGATGGCTCAGGAAGGTGCCTTTCTGCATTTTATTCTGATCTAAGAGGTTTATCATCTTAAGCCCCATTTTTCCTTCAGATAAGGACAGGTCCGGATGATTTGCCTGCATCTAGTCTCCATACAAAGATATAAATTGGCTGTTGACTGCAAAAAAGGTGCTCCTTTTTCTTCATGCATCAGGGCTGAGTGTGCTATTTAGATGTGAGTACAGGATAATGAAGAATTCACTAATTCTGACCCCAGGGCTGATACTAGAGGGATCCAAGCACCTTTGGTCATATCAGAGGAACTTAGAATCCTCCAGAGATATAAGACTACAGAAAGCTATGGGGTAAGAAGACACCAGAATCAGGAAATGAAAAAGCAGGTACTTATTTGTTCTGTTGCAAACACAGTAGACTTTTGATAAGGAAAAAGTTCATGAGCATCAGCTGGGCACTTGTGGCTCCATTCTGTAATCCTACTACTCAGGAGGGTAAGATCTGAGGATTGAGGTTTGGAACTAGTCTGTGAGACTTTTCTCTCCAATGAACCAGCAAAAAGCTGGAAGTGCAAGTATGGCTCAAGTAGTAGAGAACCAGCCTTGAGCATAGAAGCTAAGAGACAAGGCCCAGACCTTGAGTTCAAGCCCCAGTACCTACCCCCATACACAAACAAATAATTTCTGAACATCATTTTATAATTTACAATAAAGCCTTGTTCCCAGAGGAAGCCAAAGACAACTATCCTCTTAGTCTTTTTATGTCATCAGCTGATTAAACTTTACTCTCACCAAATAATAGCCAGGCAAAACTGTGTAGAGGTCCTGTAAGTAAGGAAAAGATGTTTCTGCATCATCTGGAATCTGACTCATCACAGGAGAAGCCATCCTCAAAGACAGGAAGGCAATAAAACAAACCATTAGAGATAGGAGGGTTTCCCAGTCCCACTCAGCTCTAGATCTGTGTTTTCAGCTACTCTTTCATTATCCCTTGAAAGTTTACTTGTTCCCTGGCCCTGGGGAGAGAGAACTCTGCAAGTCAGGTCTTGCTCCTTCAACAAATATTCCTTTGCCAGAAAAGTTGGAAAAACTTGTTTAGTTGGAGGGCATGAAGAAATCTGCCTTTCTTCGGAGGAAGTTCTTGGGGAAAGGGGTGGGCTGGCTATGAGAATGAACCTTGGCCAAGATCCTTTTAAGTTCAGTGCAGAGATGTCTGCAGAAGAGGAAAGAGAAGATGGCCACCTGCTCTGTGTGCAGATATGGGCATTGTGAAACTTCCAGAGGATGGGTGTAGGCAGACAGCCCATCGTGCCTCAAGCTTTAAATAAAACACAGAAAGCTCTTGCTAAGGCCTTGGACCCTGTCTCACCCAACCTTCAAAGAATGGTAGCTTGGAAGAGGAAATCACTGTGTTAGTTCCCTTTATGTTTACACAAATTCTTATCCCCAGTAAACTCAAATTGAAGAAGAGGAACTCACCAAAGGACAATAGCACCCAGTTTGGCCATGGTGATATAGGAAGCCTTCAGATACGCTCTGAGTGGGTTTATGTTTTTTCTTTTCACCTGA